ACATTGGAAAAGTAGGCTTACTTTAATCAGGTAAACTACTGAAAGCTCGAAAAACCACTGATCGTTTTGTTTTGTGATATTATGATTAGTGATTACGGACATCTATTACAGACACATGTTGGAATCTTTCTCTAGAATTGTTTTCACATCTTCAAAAGTCGGTATCCTACTTAAATAATAAAAACCCAGTACTGACGGGTCGTGATACGCAGTGTTGCTCTTGTAGCGAGTCTTTCTTTTACTTCCTCTCATGCTCATGCGAATCCTCAGACTTTTCATGAAAGTGTGTGATCGTCGTGACCTTTGCGCACTGTCGAGTCTCTCCTCCTTATTAGGCCCGTAGACACGCTCCGTGATGAAAGCCTTTTGGATAGCACTCTTGGCAGATCCTGTGAAGCTCTGGACACGTTCCCTGAGTGACTTTTTCGATGGAGACGATCCTTTATATAAGGCAAAGTCACTGGAATAGAAACAACAATTACAAATAATGTATTTGTTGTGGAATATTAACACAAAAGAGAATTTTATGAGAGGAGAGCTTTATTTATTTAAGTAAACAATATTATATTAGTAAATTCTTACCATAATGACTTAGACAAAATTGATCAATATTACGCTTCACCAACTTCATAAAGTAGTTCATACCAAAACATTTATCGTTTAAACAGTTTGATAGTATGCATAGCGATAGTATGAATAGATCTGTATACCAGTCGACCTGGTATTAAACGAAAGGCACTGGGTATAGCAGATGTGGTGTGGTTGACATATTCTTCGTTACTTTCAGTAACATGTTATTATAATACCCACACTCCACAGGAACGCCACTTGTAGAAAAAAATTCGCGTAAAGCTACACGAGGGCTATCTGCCTAACCGTCCCTAATTTAGAAGTTATAGACTAGAGGGAAGGCAACTAGTCAACACTAACTACCGCCAACTATTGGGCTACTTTTTTATCAACGAATTGGGGGATTGACTATCATATTTTTAACGCCCCAAGGCTGAAAGGGCGAGCATGTTTGGTGTGACGAGGATTCAAATTTACATTAAGAAACCAGTTTACAGCTACCATTGTTCGACTTGATCAGGTAATTAAAGCTGAACATTTGCTTCCAGAAACGAAGCAATACGGTGGATTGATGCAAAAAAGCAATTGGTTATAAAGTAATAGCAAGATTAGTATTGTAAGTTACTCTCACTGTGTATAGCTTCTCTGTACATGATTTGAGGATAACTGAATTGAGGAAGAGCGTATAATGATAACTAACTTCAAGTTAAAATACAAATGGGATGACAGACCAGCTTCAAATTGTTTCCCAGTCTATAACCAAGAAATTATTGTGCACTACATGGCAATTCAACATCAGGAGTCGAACGTTCAGGAACAACAAGGAGGGAAGCACGAAGCAAAGAAATCCAACATATAATTCAATAGAGCACAATTTGGAAATTATGGTAGCCCAAACCAAATGTCATTCATGATGTTGTAAAGAGAACGGCTGATTGGAACTGTTAGATTAAAAGAAAACTCCGACAGAGGTAAAACAACATCCTGGAGAATCAGATGTTTATGCGAAGATCACTTCTAGAGTATAATTAGAGATGAAGGCACCAGTGGATTCTCTTGACCCGAAGAAAACTCCCTTGATCTTATACAGGTCTTACTCATTTTGTTTATGTAAGCTTTACTTAACACTGTGTTATTCACCCTTACTTAACACTTGTATACACCCTTACTAAATATTGTTTTATGCAGGCCATATTGGACATTCTTGTACTTTAGACTCAGAAGAATATGCATACTCTCCTGTGTTGTTACTTGGATTGTGAAGGTAATACTTATTACTGAGCTGCATACGTGTAAATATATATATATATATAAGTGTATGTGTGAGTGATTGTTCAGAAAAAACAGATGACGAGAACTACTACATGACACTAAACAACATAACAGCATTTCCATTACACTTTCACAATTTCAAATCAAAATGAATTTTATAGAAATGGTCGTGGTAAAGCATACAGTCAGGCACTGCTCCACTCCCACCCCCAGTTTGTTTCAAAATTCAAGATGAACAGAGGCCAAATTCAGTGTTTTATTTTCATTAGACTGTATTACAAACAGGAACCTAAGACTCTCCAATTAGAAAGCCCCCCAGTGGCACAGTGCTATGTCTGCGGATTATACTGCTAGAAACCGTGGTGGGCCGAGCACAGATAGCCCTTTGTGTAGCTTTGTGCTTAATAACAACCAATTAGAAATAAGATTCATTCATAGGCATATTTAGATTTATTTGTAAATTAGAAGAAGACCATATATAAAACACATTTAATATATATACCGCACGTGTAATAAATACAACCTTTTATCTTTGTTTTATTTCACCACGATAGTTTTTAATTAGAGACCTGACATTACTTTGTGTCTACCTCGTGCCTTTGTATTATTTCATCATGATAGCCCTTGGAGACGTGAAATTAGCTGGTACTATTTGAATCTTGACGAGGAAGTGCAATTTTATTGTTGGGCGAGTCGTTTTGGATTATTCAGTAAAAAAATATAATGCACATTTTAGTTCACTTAATTATAAACGAAAGCGTTATATTTCTTCAAATACAGGTTCTACAACTTTTACAAGCTCCACGTAATTAAAGGAGGAACTAACATCATAAATAAATATCAGCTCATAGGTACGGTACTTTTCACATTTCCATTACTTTTTTTAAAACAGAAATTCGATTTTTTTTTGTGCTGAACTAACTGGTTATCTGACTCAGTAATCAATCAACATCTCCGTCTAGGCTCGCATAATATGTGTTTGATATCTTTCAAATCGTTTCCTATTCACATCGTGGGTTTAGTAAATACTTGTCATGTTATTCATATCGTGGGCTTAGTAAACATTTGTAATGTTATTCATAACGTGGGTTTAGTAAGATATTTTAATATTATTTACATCGTGAATTTGCAAAAATGTTTATCATGTTACTCAAATTGTGGGATTATCAAAATATTGTCGTGTTATTTAAATCTTGAATTTATTATAAAATTATTATATTACTAGCTGGAGTACACGTCCCCTGGACGGAAATTATGTAAATTCATGATTAATGAAAGGTTATCTTGGGATATGAAAAGTTGCTTACCTTATGTGTAATTGTAAAAAAAACGCAAAAACGCCCATAAAAACTGCAAAATGTGAAACTGCAAGTTTGCATGGGCCCAAAACTTTCATACCGAATTTGGTGAAAATCCATCAACAGGAGGAGAAGTAGTGGTAGTAAAAAACGCGAAAACGCCCGTAAACCTGCCAAATGCAAAACTGAACATGAACCCAATGAACCTCCATACTAAATTTGGTGAAGATCCATCCACAGCAGGTGAAGTAGTGGTAAAAAACGCACATAAAACTGCCAAAAGCAAAATGCATAACTGAACATCTCTATGTATCTCTCCATGGATCTAATAAACCTCCATTCCACATTTGGTGACGATCCAACTATAGGGGCGAAATAGTGATAAAAAAGGCAAAAACGCCCGTAAAAACCGAAAACTGAACATTTGTGTGTATATCTCCATGGACCCAAAGAAACTTCATACTAAATTTGGTGAAGATCCATCCACAGGAGGTGAAGTAGTGGTAAAAAACGCAAAACTGGAAATTTGTATGTATCTCCTCATGAACACAATGAACCTCCATCCCAAATTTGGTGAAGATCCAACTATAGGGGGCAAATTGTTGTAAAAAACGCACATAAAAACCGCAAAACGCAGAACTGAAAATGTATATGTACCCCCGTATGCACCTAATGAACCTCCACACCCTGCGAAATAGTTACATGGACATACAAAAGACAGTAGTATTATATTTGTATAGATTCATATTGTGTGCCTCCCCAGTGGCACAGTGGTATGTCTGCGGACTTACAACGCTAGAATCCGGGTTTCGATACCTGTGGTGGGAAGAGCACAGATAGCCCAATGTGTAGCTTTTTGCTTAATTACAAAACAAAAAAAACATATTGAGTGTACAGTAAAACTTCTTATGTTATTCACAACGCGAGTTTAGTAAAAACATTTCATGTTATTCACATTGTGGGTTTAGTAAAAAAAAAGAGGTCATGTTATTCATATCGTGAGCTTAGTAAAATCTGGTCACGTAATTCACAAACATTGAATATTAGAGCAGTTTCCTGTTTTTATAGTATTACTTTTTTTTCAGTTTTGAATAAAGTATCTATAAACTTTAAGAAGTGATGATTAATATGGGTTTTTTCTGGCTTAGTTTCTAGCTTTACCGAAATAAACACTTTATTATCTATATAAAATATTTTTCGTTAATCAGTATGAGAAGAAGCAATCTCGTTAGAAATTAAAACTTAATATGCTAATCTATGCATCACATATAGTAACAGCTAACCTATGTTAATACATATGTATCTGTGGTTCTAGTTCGTATGTAAATAAAAATGTGTTTGTATTAATAGTCTTGTTCAGTAACAGCTGTCACATTTTAATGAGAATGTGTGTATTATTTATCGTATATTGACAGCTGCTACATTCTGATAGGAATGTGTTTATGTTAATAATCTTAACACATTAGATGACTGAGTTAACGATGTTAATATAAGTGCTATATAGATTAATGTATCACGATGTCTTTGTAACCTGATTTAGAGTTAAACCCTTAGACATAATGTTCTTGTACCTTAATGGAAAGAAAAGTTCCTGTATCACTAGATCCTTGTGGCATGGTTTAGTGGTCAATCCCTAGACACAGGATTCTAATGCTTTAATTCGATGAAGTACTCTGGCATCACTAAGACTTTGCATCCTTTAAACACCCCATAACACTGATTTTCTGTGATTTACTTGTATGCATAAAACCAGGAATGGTTTTCCTAATACATTACAATTCAAGAATACGCGTATTCGTGGAATACTTCTGTAAAATGTGCTTTATTTAAAAACTAAGATGACTATCTTTTTTGCATTAGGCTCTGGCAGTCCAAAAAAGAACACTTACGATGGTGACCCTGTGTACCAAAATGCAGATAGAAAGGAGAATGGATCGCCAGTGGCTGAACCAGAAAATAAGCCGATGTATGAGAATATGACTTTTCACCAAAAAAGACCCAAAGGGGTAAGTTGTTTTACATATCTGTCCTGTACTGAAATAACAATTAACCCTCGGTGAAAATGTATTGACAATGAAATATATTTTTAAAGTATGTTGTGTTTCTCAACGAATTCAGTATATTGCGTAAAAATACAAAACTCAGAATCCATAGTTTTTTTTCCTTTCTACATGTAAACATCTGCTACTCCATGCTTGTGCTACTTTTATTTCTTATATGTCTGGAACTGCTAATCCATGCTTGTTATTTTGTTCCTGTAGGTACGCGTGGACTAGCAAGTATAAAAATAACATAAAGTTTCCTGTACGTACAGAACTCCTAGTCCCTGCTGTGTTATATTTGTTTTCTGTAGGTATGGTACTTTCTAGTCTATACTTGTTTTAATTTTATTTCCTGTACATACAGAACTCCACGTTCATGCTTGTGATATTTTTATTTTCATTAAGTCCAGATCGCTAGTTCATGTTTGTGTTATTTTTATTTTCCCTGCTTTTATCTAAATGTTATCAGCTCTTAAAAGTTTCTAATAGTTATAATTCAGAACAACGTAATTATAGTAATAATTAACGATATGGATAGCTGAATAGTCTTTAATTATCTTAGATTTTAAACTACTTGGCTTCCGTCGTCTTCAGTTTGTGTAACTTGAAACACGCTAGCTATTCGCTCCACTTCAGTAATTAGCTTTTAGACTATGTTATTCATCTACTCACGAAACCTTAATATTTTCATCAGTCGCTGGATATCCAACAACTCAATCAGCGCCTATCAAATTAAACTCTGCTGTACTCGTGTATTGCTAGGATTCTATAGTCGACATTTTGAAGTTTAAAAATTATTTTTATTTCAATTAATTCTAATGGACTCGGCAATTTTCATCAGACCTTCCGGCATTGTTATTGTAAAATATATCCAGCAGAAGAATATATCAAGAAACTTTTACCGTAAGACAAATTATCAAACTACCAGTCACGAACTATCTGGAACATAAGTACGTGGAAATTGTTATTGATACGATTCATTTACAATCTCTCTGGAACCTATACAAGTGGAGTTTGTTATTGTCACATTATCAGTCACGAGCTCTATGGAATATATCCACGTGGAAGACGTTATCAACACGAACTATCTGGAACTTGTGTGCGTGAAAGTTGTTATTGACATGTTTCAATTAAGTGCACTCAATTTTTGGAAACATTTCGTGATTCCTTTCAAAGAAACTTTTTAGATTTTAAACCATTCCAAACAGAATAGGAAACCTATAAAAAGCAAGGGATTGCTCTAATTTGCTAAATCTTAGCTTGGCAAATGTATGATACGTTAAACCACTTATATATCGAGTTGTTTATCCAGTAGGCCTCTTAGTTTCGGCTTACAATGAGAGAAAACTAACGAGAATATTAGTAATATAATAAACATCGTGGATTTCAGGCCTTAGAAGTTGTTTTCTATCTTGCCTACCAATTATTGAACCACATTACGAAATATTCTATGGAACATGAAAGTTTGTTTATTTCCAATACAACAGATTAAAAAATAAAAAACAATAACTGTAATCAGGTTAAAATGACGTCATCATCAGGTGCGACTTCAATAAGTGAACCTACAATGCATTTTTCAACATAATACACCGTAAAATTTGAAAAGTGTTGATTTGTAGTTGTATTTAAAATAATGTTAAAAATACACAAACCGAGTTATAGGTATTTATGGTTCATATTGTTTTATCAGGGAAGTTTCGTTACTGGTAAAGAGTTTCATGGCATGACGGATCAAACTGAAGAGTTAAAAATAAGAATATAGGAAATGAGGAACACGGATTTGTATGTCATAGATTCTTATATCCACAAACCTTCACATTCTTTCCGTACTAATTGGCAGAAATTACCTAAAAAGCTTCAAAAAAATTCATCTGTCCAATTCTGGTCTTTTAAGGAAGAAATTTAGGGCGAATATGTTTGTGAAACAAAAAGTTCCTATTATTTATCGTTTTCTTTATCTACCGATGCGAAACTTGTGAATAGTTTTATATTGTACAAAACAACAGGTAATCTTTTAATGAAAGAAAACTAAAAATCCCCTTCTCAAGTTTACATTAAATAGTCAATCAAATAATAATTATTAAAGAAAAAATGTATTAATCTTCGGATGATAAAGGAAAATTTGGTGATAAAATAATATAAGTAAAAATGTGATTTTGTTATTAAGCGCAAAGCTTTACAAAGGAGTAACTGCGCTGGATTCATCGCCGGGATTGACCCTCGATTTCTAGCATTATAAACCGCTGGACCATTAAGGAGAATATGCTAAAATGAGTAAATATACAGTGGTCTTATTAGATTATCTTACATGCAATAAAAAACTCAACAACTTTTAAGTGTCACTTGTCTGTTATATGTGTGAAATTAGTAAATATAAACTATTGTTTTAGCTGTTCTAGTCATATCCAATCATCTTTGGTTAATTTAGTGAAGCGTAGGTTTATTTTTGACATTATAACTCTGCTTTTTTCAAAATTAAGCAATAAATTGTGTTGTTATAAAGTCAATTAATACGCACGGAGGTTGAATAATTTGTGAACATATGTAGTATTATGAATATGGGAAGTATTGAATGATCTGTGGATATATATACTGTTCTTAAATCTGTGTTTGGAATAATTTCTAACAAGCCTATTTTGGCAATAAAATTAGAGGAAATACGACCTTTATTGTTCAGATGATAATAAAGAACTGTTTATTTCAGTCAACGTTTCGCCATTGCGGCTTTATCAGGGCTAGTAGTCAAATAATTGTTTGATATAGAAACACACATTAACTTATTAAACTGCTTATTATGTTCTATTTCTCGAGATTTTCGTAACGTGCTTTTGATAATGTTTAGAATATTTTCACATCAAATAGTTATTGTACTACTAACCCTAATGAAACCGCAAGAGCGAAACGCTAGCTGAAATAAAAATGTTTTTGTTATATTTGGAGAGAAAATGTGTTTCTTTAAATCTGTGGCCAAAATGTCTAAATCTCTCCGGTATGCAGTACAAATTTTGAAGAAAAAACAACATATCTATTATTATGATATGGGGTAGCCTTGAATGATCTGTAGAAGTATCTATTGTTCTGAAATCCGTATTTCAAAATATTTGTGAACATATCTAGTATTATCAAATTGAATAGTCTTGAATGACATATGAACATATCTACTGTACTGGGGCTTATTTATCTTAAGAAAAATGAATCCCATTTTTGTTCTGCTATTGTGCAACAGACATATTTTGCTAGAATATATAAGTAACCGGCATTTGTATGTATTTTTTACAAAAAGAAAACAACTGGTTATAGAGTTCAGTAGATTTCATTTCTAAAAATAATAATATAACCGACAAGAAAGGTTTGACTATTTGCATGTGCTGTTTTGATTGCAGAACCCCTCTTTCCTTACTAATAATGAAAGTATGGCCTGTGATGATTTGTCTTTGCCAAATAGTGGTGCAAAACCTGTCTTTAGAAAACATACACCCACCTTGACGTTCGCCAAAGAAGGGAATTACATAAATGAGAGTAAGTAACAGGTAATGGAGCCTTCAGTTTAACTTGTTCAAATAAGAAGACATAGAAAGTCTTGTAATTGTTCACTAACATTCCTTAGCTCTGCAGACCTAAGATTCTGTATTAGGCTAATTCCTAAGTACTTCAAATGACAACTTGTGGAATAGACTTGTCTGCACGAACGCAGTTAAATGAAAATGTTAGCCATATTGTTTACAAGAAACACATTTTTACACTGTGTCTTTAGACTCTTTACCAACAAGAAATACGTTCTTTTTCACATTGCTCACAAGAAACACGTTTTAGACTGTCTCTTTAAATACATTACTGATAAGAAACACGTCTTCATGGTGTCTTTACACACATTGTATAAAAGAAATACGTTTTTGACTGTCTATTTATATACTTTACTGACAAGAAACACATTTTTAGGCTGTCTTTAGACACATTGAACACAAGAAGCACATTTGTGGTGTATAATTAGCCACGTTGTTCACAGGAAACATGTTATTTATATCTTGTGTGTATAGAAACATCAAACATACTTCCGATTAGAGCAAGCTACCAACTTAGAACAAAATTAAAATCAACTTGATTGTTATGAATAAAAACCCTATAACCCGAGCGCTTTCGAAAAATGGACTTTTCCTCTTCAGGGGCAAACTGGAAATGGTCGTATTGTTCGTATTGCTAACCAAATATCATGTTCATACTGTATCAGTTATAATGATTAGAATGTTTGGTACCCTCGCTGTTAACGATATTTCTGGCTGTAAACACAATAATATCCCAAGAGATTTAGCCAGCTTAGGAGATTTAGGTTAGTCCTAAGTTCGTATACTAAGCTAACAATGCAAACAGTCTGTATAATAAAAGTATAATATTAAAAAAATAAACAAATAAAAGTATATATTTTAAACTTTCGAACTAGTACTGTTAATGAAAGTAACGTTAAAGAAATAATATATTATATCTCACTTACGGAACACACAAATATTAACTGTTAGCTTTAAGTATTGTCGTAGATTTAATAGATATAAATGTCCTTTAGACAACGTAATATCAGCATAACCGTATATAAGCAAAACTTGAGACCAACGAAAATCCATTGACAGTGTCGGAACCTGTAACGACGTCAGAGATAAACTGTTACGACACATGTTACAGAGGTTTTGCTGCCATATTGGTGTGATAGCAAATGTAGAAGAAGCGGTATACGGTGTTTGTTTAGCGATATATGCGAAGCAACATGACAGAAAACAGAAGTGACAGCAATCGTAATCCCGTGCCTGTACCTTCTGAGCTTGTTATTATAGTGATGGAATATATTTCAACACAAGCGTTCGAGTCACTTGGTCATTTTATGAATGTTTTGAAGCCATCGATTATACAGACACATTTAGAATAATTATTTTGAAAATAAATTGGTAGTTTTACTGACTTCTCTTTGTGTCCGAATAAGAAGTAGAACCAACGTAACATGATATTATTGGCATTGTTGTATACTCTATAGATCGTTAAAGGGTGCACCCATAAATAGGCTAGATACTACATAGAAACATTCATATTCAATCTCATTAATGCTAATAGATACTGCTTGAACTTTGGGGGGTATGGAATGCCTGGTAAACATTTTAGAATTTGTTCGTATATAACTTTAATTGTCTGACCAGACTGTAAACCAGTGAAACATTTAACTTCATTATTATCTAATACGATCTTTGTCAACAGATAAATATGTTTAAGCCCTTTTTTTTCAACAAGTGATTTTCTATTCTTAAAATTCTCCCAGTGGGACAGCGGTAAGTCTACTGATTTACAACGCTAAAATCAAGGGTTCGATTCCCCTCGGTGGACACAACAGATAGCCCGATATGGCTTCGCAATAAAAAAAAACACACACACGCGCTCCTTTTTTAAAGAAATGATTTCAAGAAGTATCACTTCAAGATCAACTATATTTGTGTCATTTTGCACGCTGTCGCTTGCACATACAGGTTTTGTTTTCGTTGTCACATATTGATGATGATTGGTCAGTTGTTTCCCGAGGGCCGTCCGAGGGAGCACGAAAGCTAAGCATAGCTGCTACTGTTGTATTACGTTTGTTGATGGCCAATCCTCCTTTTTTAATTGTTGACTTCTAAGGTAGTTTTGCATGACCTTTTCTGCCTTTATCTTCTTAGGTGATGAAACACGCATGACAACTAATGGCACGTAATTGCTAATCTCACCTAAAAAGCAAATTAAAACCAAAATATTATATATTCGAGATTAAAAGGGGCTAGTATTCTACATATTCTTCATTATCTCAATATTATTCTAATAAAAACAATTTGAACAAGGGAGTTATATATTTGTATAGGCATTATATTTGTGACTAAATCCTAGTTACATTCCTAAACATGCATTGTTGTTATAGACCTAAGTATAACTGTTTTTACTGTCAATAGTCATTTGGATTGATCTATCAGAATATGACCAAGCATTCAAAACTTCACTTATGATGCTGGTTCACTAGGTTTGTTTCTAACACTGTGATGCATCTATATAATGATTTAATAAATATATGTATAACTAATATCAAAATATGATGTTAAGAAAACACATATGTTCAAAAATCAATTACAGACAAAAATTCAAAACCGTATAATCCGAGCGCTTTGAAGAAAGGTCCACCTTTCAAAATCGCTCGGGTTATAAAATTATATATTAATATTAAACTATATTATGAACATAGGAGTTATATAAAGACATTTCTATGGCTAAAATTTAGCTAAATTTTTAAGCATATATTATTACATATATAAGTATAAAAACTGTAACTGTCAATACTCATTTGGCATAATCTATTAAAAGAAGTAGGCCTAATAATGTCAATCATGCACATAACGTCACCATGATGCAAATCTACTAGATTCGATTCTGTAGAATGTTGCAGGTATGTATAATTATATATTCAACAGTCAGTTGGTCACTTGCTTCCGATAAAATGTTTATTTAGATCTGGACCCAAACCCTTCCTAATATTTAATGAGTCTGATCGCTTTACTTCTCCTATTCATTTCTCTCGTCTGTCAATATCAGCTGGAAATCTCTGGAATGACAGGCCATATTTTTAACACCCGATAGCTACACAGTTTAGAATTATTGTTCTTGAATTCGTAAATTAGCACTGTATTGTGTTTTGTGCTTGTAAAATACACGTTAAATAACCGGTGTGAGCGGCCCGTTTTCACTCCAACATGGCGTCATAAACGGAGATGATGTATACGTGACATCACTTGCCAAACCTTTACTGTTTAAGCGTGAAGTCAAGAAGCGAGACATTACTAATACTGCCTGCAGCTATAAGTTAATGTTTATGAATACAATATAACAAATGATAAACCAAGTGAACACCTAAATTTTACAATAAACAGCTGGAATAATAGTTCTCTAATTAAAATATAACAATGTTAAATGTAATAAAAACAATAATATATTAAACATACTCTCAGATGTGTCTAACACAGCTAATCCGACTTTAACTAACTCCTGCTACTTAACAAAACACATTGAATGAGCAACAATAATTAATAAATATGTATACGAAAAGATGCGACAAAGTTTAACAATAATAACAACACTTATGAAGGTATCCTAGATTGTATTTATGGCCAACGATTTTAGATTGTGTCGTTATATTGTTCAGAAAAGGCAATTCCTCGATAATTCAACTATAAACTTTAAGGTTTGTTACTGTAGTATTAGAGTTTAGATCCCTGTAATAGTACAGCACAAATAATCCATTGTTCAGCTTTGTGCTTTAAAATAAACACAAGAGACGTATGCTTAGTTTAGGCCATTAGCTAAAATGTTATTTTTAGGAATTTTTCGTTAACGCTAATAATTTTAACACAATACTTGTCGGTTATCGTTAGCTAACTTCTTTATCATAATATGTTTGAGCCAACGTTAGCTTTCTTTTTAACATAACATTTGTCAGCCAACATTAGCTGACTTGTTAACATAACATTTTTCAGTCAGTCAGTCAGATTTGTAACATAACCTTTGTCAGTTAACTTTACAACATGATTTTTGACAGCTTTAATTTACTTCTTAGTATAACACTTATTTATTAATGTTAACTTTAACAATGTAAAATTTTTCATCCCAAGTTAGCTATTTTTTTCAAAATTTTGTGTATGTAATAAGTCCGGGAATGTCCTGAATTTAATTTGAAACGCACTGAACAAGTAATTAGTAAATCACTCAGTAAAATTTCACTTAAATGAAGAGGAAAAGAGAACTAAAAGTAAATATATTCTGAAAATGATTAAACAGAGTTAAAGACCTCTAATCCTTAAACTATTAACAACAACGTGTCATGATTAAGAGAGATCTTATCGAGTTTCTAAAATATATATATATAGTAGATACTTCGTCATTCCCGCCGTTAAGGCAGCTACCAACTTTGTTTAAATTAGTATATGTATATATTACAACTCCATGTAAAAAACAAGGGTTTAATCTAAAAACATTAAAATCTACGGGTAACGAGGTGTATTATACACGTTACCCCAGACAAAGAAAGTTTTACATCGAAACACATTACAGTGTTATCAGACTTTGGTGTACATTCTGTTATATATTATAATGTAATAGATAAATTATTTTGGATTCCCAAATTAAATGAAACACCATACGATTACAAATGTATTGCCAGTGCTAAATAAAGCTACGGGTAAGAAGTTGTCAATTGAAATAGGTAACGGTCTGAAATAGATTAAAGAAGATTTAAACAAATGCTGTGATATTATCAAAGAGAGAACTAATATTAATCCTTTCATTATCATCAATAGTTTAGTTGAATGTAAAAGGAATTAAAGGATTTGAGGCTAAAACAATAGAAAGCTGTGATTTCAGTAATCTCTACACTAATCTTCTTATTGATAAAATTAAAAAAGTGTTTAATCAACAAGATATTTTAATTATTCTGGTAAATTAGAGTTTTGTACAGTAAACATACACAT